GTCAGAAAAACACAGCATAAGAAATGCAACGCCTCATAGAAGTCAATACTGAAACAGAACAAGTACGATGAAGTAAAAGGTGATGCTGACAATTATACCAAAGGTCATGAGTAACATCACACATGATGGCATCTTGAACATTATATTCCACAACAGACGAGGACAAACTGAGCTCTTTATTGTCGTGCTAACATAATAGCGTCTCCTCCATTCATTCATATAAAAGGTATTTTTCTTATTTTGAATGACTGCTGACATCTCAGAGGGAAAAAAAAAACAATCATCTCTGAAAAGTAGACCTCCCCGTCTGCCTCATCTTCTCTTCCTCCTTATTTCCTCTGGTGGTATCTACTCTGCTTCCCTTTGTGTTCGTTCTGTCTCCTCTAATCTTCCCTCCTCCATCTGATCCTTGGCTCCGTCCAATCAAACTCAGATTTCCAGCTGCCCTTTTCCTGCTTTTTCACCTTCTCGTCTGTCCAGCGTTTCCTCTCCTTGCCTGTATTTCCCAGCTATCTAATCTCCACCAGCGTGCATCCCTCTCCTGCCTTCATCCCTCTTCCCATCCCCGATGCTTCATCCTCGCCTTCATTTCTCCCCCTTCAGTCTAAGCCTTCCTCCTCTTTCCACTGCTCGACCACAGCGATCCGGAGGTTAATTAGCCCTCTGAGTGTCAGGCTGTTAGATCCCCTCCCGCCTGCCTGCACGCCGCCCTGTGATCGCCTCGGCAGGGCGACTAACAAGCGTCAGACGTCGGTGTCAGCAGAAAGCAAAGCGAAGCGAGGAGGAGGAGGAGGAGAGCAAAGCGACGGCATGACAGAACGTGGACAGGGCGATCATTTGAAGATAAATTTAGGTAATGAAGGAGGGGGAAGTACAGAGGAAATGACAAGATGCGATGCAGAAGAAAGGATCGAGGCTGACAGGTGGAGGGACGAATAAATAGAAGCCTGGCTAGGTAGAGACAGAAAACAGCAGGAATAGGCCGAGCATCGTGGCCGATATTTGGCATTTTCACGATTATAGTTATCTGTATCGGCCGAATATTGCTGAATAAAATGCTCTTCTTTGGTTGTGATGCAGCCTCCTCTCTCTGTCTTTGGTCTCAGAAATGTCTACAAAGCAGAAACTGTAAAAACTGAACGAGAAACACAAACCAGGAAGTTAGCTCCTCTCACAGCGGCTAATGCTATGCTAACGGCTAGCGGCTAAGTTAGCAGGCAGCCACAGATTAACATGAAACAGAGTCTGGAAAACAAGAATTAATGTTAAGATCTGGACCTTAGTGGGTAATAAATGTGATACACAATGAAACATTAAAACAATAGAGAAGAGCAGCAGGAGACAAACTGATCGACCTCAGTCACATAAACAGAGCAGAGCATCCTGATTGAATCACTCCTGTTTCAGAATTCTGAATGACTGAAAATGTTTTGCGTCATTTTTGTCAGATTTTAAGTCATTTTGGACAAATTCTTTAACCATTTGGAAAAGAAATCCGAGTCAATTCGGAGATGTTTTGAGTCATATCAGAGGATTTTACGTCTTTTTGTTAAATTTTAAGTTATTTTTTTTTACATTTTTGTCAGCCGATGCCTCATAAACAGAGCAGAGCGTCCTCATTGAATCGCTGCTATTTCAGAATTCTGAATGACTGAAAATGTTTTGAGTCATTTTTGTCAGATTTTAAGTCATTTTGGACAAATTCTTTAACCATTTGGAAAAGAAATCCGAGTCCCTTGGAAAAGTTTTGAGTCATTTAAGAGACTTTTAGGTCATTTTGGAAACATTTTAAGTCCTTTTTGTCTAATTTTAGGCAATTCTGGACAACTTTTTTTTTTTAACCATTTTGAAGATTCCTTTGAGCAACTTTGGAAAATGTTTGAATCATTTTGGAGAATATTGAACAAATCTGAAAACATTTTAAGTCATTTTTGTCAGATTTAAAGTCACTTTGGACAAATTCTTAACCATTTTGGAAAAAAAAAAGAAGTCACTTTGGAGACGTTTTAAGTCATTTTGTTGAAATTTAAGTCACTTTGGAAACATTTTGAATTTTTTTTGTCAGATATGTAATTTTGGACACATTCTTTGTCCATTTTGAGTCACTTTCGAAAAGTTTTTAATAATTTTGGAGAATTCTGAATCACTTTGAAACCGTTTCGAGTCTTCTTGTCAAATCTGAAGTCATTTTGGACCGTTTGGGGAAAAAATCTGAGTCACTTTGGAGAAGTTTTGAGTCATTTTAGAGAAATTCAAGTCATTACATCAAATTTTAAGTCAGTTTGGAAACACATAAAGAGAGCAGAGCATCCAAATGTAATGACTCATATTTATATTTTCCATATTCAGGTATGAATGACAGGTTTGCTGCTATCACATGCCATTAAAACATTACATTTAATGTATATCGGGTGAAAATATCAGTCATTAGCCTTTTCTGATCACCAATAATCGGCATCAGCTATATATATTTTTTTACAAAAAGCAGCAACAAACAAAACAAAACAAAACCACACATATATGAGACGATTCCAGGAAATTGGGGGGAAAAGGGTAGATTTTGTTAAAAGAAAAACAGAAAACAGGTTGGAGAATAGCCGAGAGATGGACAGAGATGGATAGAGAAAGAATAAAAGATGGAGACTCCAAATTATGGAACTAAAGATGAAAGCAACTTGGAAAAACTAAGCACGAAGGCAGGCGGAGGGTCGGAGGTATTCAAAGCAGATGATGGATAGAAGAAAGATAAAATTACTATTTTGTATTATGTAGTAAATGAGGAGAGATTGACGACAATGAAAGTCCACACAGAGGTCATCGAGAGCAGAGGGAAAACAAATGCGGAGGCGAAGTGGGATGAAGATGGAGGTGGTAAGAGAATTCAGGGAGCACGGCAGAAAAAATAACAGCAGGGACGGTGATTGACGGCTGGAAAGGAGGCGAAGGAAGGCGGCGATGGCAGAGGAGGAAGTGAAACAGGGAAATAAATGAGGAGCGCCGCAGAGCTGACGGACAAGTGAGACGGAAATGAGAGACAGTTAACGGAAAAAAGGTGAGAGGAGGGGAAGGGAAATGAAACTGGAGCGAAAAGGACGAAAAGAAAGATGAAGGATGATGGCTGCAAATGGCAAACAGAGCCTCAGCAGGAGAAAAATAAAAAAGATCAGGGTTTTGAATCTCTCTGGACCTTATCTGCATATTATGTAGCTGGACGGCCGCTTATCAGAGCAAGAAAACGTGAAAAGACAGAAAGAACTGGCAGAGTTTAAACTTTCCTTGAACTTATTATGTGTGACGAGCAGTCTAACCAGGAAAATAAACACAATTAACAATTAATAATTAACTATTCACTCAAAACCTCACCCAAAATGAACAGCTTGCGTCAGACTCTGTAAAGCTTTTAATGCAACCGACAGTCACCTGACACAAACTCAGGAGCTGTTTGGTTGAACTGCAGGCTGTGTAGTATGTCAATAAATTACAAAGATGAGGGCAAAATTAAACATATATAAATGTGGCATGGCTCAAAAACGGTGAACAGAGGAGCACGTTGTTGGAGGATACAGTCAGCATGGTGGAACATCTTTCTAGATCTAATGTTCAGAGTCAAATTGTGAAAATGAACCCAATCTAAGCTTGAAATTTCCATCAAAATCACCGGATTATTATGTGACTCAAAATAAACCGTTTGCATCTGATTCTGTTGACACTAAAACATCTTCCTACA